AGAAGCTCCTTTTATAGAGTGATCTGAGAGATAGATCAACGCTTGAGATTGTAGATGCTACATAGATGGCTAAGATGTAAGATGCTTTGGAGATAAGATTTTTTGAATTATTGTGGGACACCTTTATGTTTAAACTGTTGTCCTTTAGAAAATTTGTGGCTTCAAAATCTGCTTTCGGTGGATTCTTATATTCAAAATCTACTTTTTTTGTGGAATCTTATCTAGAAATGGTCCCTGAAAGTGAATTATACTGTGGACTTTTTTACTCTGGAATGCTCTTTGGATTCTTCTGGTGAAATCTTTACACTTTTAGCATATTAAACAGATTTCTCTCTTCAGTGTTGTCTAGTGAGCTATTGTTTCCTTCATCTGACTGATTATCTAATTGAGCATGTAGTCCTCTGATGCATTTTTTCTTCCTTATTCATTATAGCAATAACTTCTGGTGAGATTTCAATCTCTGGGGGAGATCTGCTGACATATGGAATTTTGGTTTTGATAAAAATCTCCATATTAATATTATGATCTAAAATTTGAAACCATTGTTAAAACTCGGGTTAAGCTGTCGATATGCTTTATAATATATTAAATAGTCAAATGTGGCTGGTTTTATATGGTTACGAAAATCATTAACAAAGGAGATGTGTTGTAACTAGTTTTGAACTTCAACTGGTTCTGAATTAATATAGATCCTACGTTGTCTAAGAATTACAGCTCCATCTTTTACCCATTCTAGGGAAGTGCTATGGATTTGAAGGAGAATTAGACTTTCTGGCATGTAGTTTTGGTGTCAATGAGATTGTTCAAAGAGAATGGCTTGATCTAATCTATCTGGAAAATTAAAAACTTCTAATACTTCCAAGGGCATGTCATTGGGTATGGTTATACCATTGACCATCCCTAACTCTAAGAGCTTGCTCGCGGTGCATCTGGTGGTTTTTGTTGAGAAACATGTTTTTCGGAAAATATCAATATGGGAGTAATGTACAAGATCAATGTCTAACAGGACTATGGCAAGAACGTCGTAATTTTGTACTGGTGGTTTTTGTTGAGAAACATGTTTTTCGGAAAATATCAATATGGGAGTAATGTACAAGATCTATGTCTAATAGGACTATGGCAAGAACGTCGTAATTTTGTACAAGACGTAAAGAAAGATAATTGTAATGAGTTCCTTTAGGTGGACTGTTGTTTCTGAGGTAATTTTAGATATCAACCCCTTTTCTTTGAATCTATCAGACTTTACTTCTTCAAGGATTAGATCTTTTATGTCTTTAGGAAAGAGTTCGACTTGTTGTCTAAGGATTTCTCTGTAAGTCGAAGAGAAGATGGGTAATAGATTGACATACTTGGTTTGTACTTGCAGAAATTGAACTTTCTGAAGATTTTCATCTTCATTAGTCCTTTGTTCAAAAAAGGTTAGTTCAGCTGTGGGGTTTGCTATCATATTTTGATAAGCTAAATTCAGCTTTTTATAATGAAATATGAGAATTTGGTATTTTTGCTGGAGATTATGATATGTTTGGTTAGATGCTACAAAATATTCACTTAAAGTATTTAAATTTATGATGATGGATTTATCGGGTGCATTTCTTTTAAACCAAAGATTATCTAGAATAAGTTTTTGGTCTGGAAAAAGATTATATCTAGCGCGGAACTGTTGAGCTGGGTTTTGTATAATTAAAAATGGGTTATAAGTACATGGTATAAGGCTATAGCTATTGTTGCTACTTTTCTCTATTCCTTAAAAATTTAGCAATCAATTAGTAAGCGAGATAGAATATCTGCTAAATAATTTTCCTTTAACATGTTCAAATATAGGTTTAAAATCTCTTCCAATAATACAGTCAAGAACTTAAATGCATCTCTTGGCAAACATCCGCTGTTGTTTGCAAATTTAACTATATTATCATAATCTGTTCTTATAAGAAACTATTTATTAAGGAATATCTGAAATTTTTCAATAGAGTTTATTACTCCTAAGATCTCTAGATCTGTTGATGGTAAAGTAAATTGTGCTTTATTAAATGTTCCGCTTGCATGGCGACAAATGTGTTTGAATTATTTTGTAACAATTTTCAAGTGGGAGTTGTAAAGGTTCTAACTGAGTGACTAGAGATTTAATTTTCTTAACTAGTTCTATGTCTTGCGTATTAAAATATTTTTGACTATTTTTTCCTAATTTAGAGTATAATGGTCCTACTAATTGTCCTAATTTTGAAATAAATTTGCAACCATAATTTAATAATCCTAAAAATGCTTATAATAACTTGGTTTCTTCTGATTTATCAAGAAAATTTAAAATCTTTTGAACAATATGTGATTGTAATTCTATTTTTCCTCATTTTATGAATAAGCCTAAAAATTCGATTTCTTGTTTTTCTAATATCATCTTTTTACTACTTATAACGAGTCATTGTGTTATAAATTCATTTAATATTATCTCAAGATGTTTTCTACATTCTTCTTTAATTTGACTGAAGACTAGAATATCATCTATATAAACACAACAGAATTTTGAATGCTTATTAAATATGTATCGATTTTTCGTTAGAATTCTTGTGCTGCGTTTTTTAATCCAAAAGGCATAACAAACCATTCATAATGTCCTTCAGGATATGTGAATGCAGCCTATTCAATGGATTCGTCAGCCATATGGATTTGCCAAAATCCTGATTTGCAGTCAAATTTAGAAAACCATTTTTTATCTTATATTCTATTTATTAAAACATCTTTATTAGGAATTTTATAGTTGTCATCATAAGTATTATTATATTCTATTTATTAAAACATCTTTATTAGGAATTTTATAGTTGTCATCATAAGTATTATTGTTTAATCTTTTATAATTTATAACCATACGAGCTTTTCCGCTCTTTTTTTGGGTATGATTTCTAACCATAAAAGTTGGACTCCTATCTCTACTATTACTTTTACTTATTACCTTTAGTAGTAAGAGTTCTTTAATTTATTTCTGAAATTCTTCTTGGTTATCTAGGGTACATGGATTATCTTGAGTTTTTATAATTATAAAAGGATTGATTATATTTAGTTTTACTTCGATTTTATTTTTATACCAATGTTTTTGAGGATTTTCTCCTAAAATCTCGGTTGTTTCAGCTAATCGTAGAAGATTATCTTTAATTTAAAATTTTTAAGGATAGCTTTGTTATTAAGGAAAATCTTAAGTTCATATAAATGACTGAGAAACATTAATGCTTCAGAAATATCTTCTAAATATTCAGTTACACCAAATAAGTTTTCTGCAGTTTCTTTTGTCATAGGTAAAGTATTGACATACGTAATAACTCATTTTTCTTTCTGATGAATATAAGGAGAGTTGAATGGACTAAAGATTCCTTTTTTAAAGAACTGTAAACCTTTGGGGGTATACATGAATCTTCTAGTGAGTGAATTTATAAAATTTAATCCTAAAATAAAATCATAGGTACTAGGAATATTATTAACTACATAAGTTTGTGGAAAAATAAATTTTTCATTGTTAATTAATATATGAATATTTTGAACACAGTAAGTTATTGGGAGTTTTTGATTATTATACTGACTCATATTAACATTATAGTTTAATTTTATTAATAATTCTTCTGGTACTAAATGCTTTTGAATCATGCTTTTAGATGCTCCAGTATCTAACATAACTGATGTTTGAACTAATTTTTCTTTAAATTCTAATGTTACAGGAAATTGGATGAAACTAGATGGTTTATATATTGAATTTATAGATTCTACTAGTGTATCTTCTAGCTGATTCTCATATTTTGTATAACAATCATGACATAATAAAATTTTACAGCGGTCTCTACAGTAATGACCTTTTTTAATAGATGTATTACATTGTTTACAATTATAAGATGAAAAATAAAAATTAACTAAAGTATATAGACATGATAGATTGTTTACAGTGCAAACAAAATCTTACATTGAATGAAGACCTTACTTAAAGTCTTCATCATTAACGAAATCATTTTCTATCCTTTCGATACTATATATACTTTCATTATCATCTTCGGAATCATAAATACTTTCTAATTCATATAATTCTTTTATTTGTTCTTCAATATCTTCAAGTATATTGATTTTTTCTTATATTCTTTTGATAGGATTTTGTTTATATCTATAAAGGCAATTTAGTCTTATATGACCTGAATCTCCACAAATAAAACATTTGCAATTTCTTTCTTTTGTGGGTAGTATGTTATAGGCCTGATCACGGTTCAGATCAGTTCGGTTTGGGGATAAATCCCAAGCCGAACCGGTCCCCACGGATTGGTTAAAACTGAAACCGAACCGATCCGTGGGGGTATTCAATCCGAACCAAACCGATCCGTGAGTTAACGGATTGGATCGGTTCCCGAATTGGGCTGATTGGGCCTTTTCAAACAGCCTATTCAATTATAACCCAAATCAAATCAGTTCCTCGGATTGAGCTGATTAGGCTTTTCAAATAGCCCATTCAATTATAGCCCATTATCAAAATTTATGTATTCAATCTGCAACAAGATTTATAACAGGCCATTCAATTATAACAATTATAACAGCCCGTTCAATTATAACAATTATAACAGCAATAGATTTACGAAAATTTCAAAATATATTTGGTACATATAAATACCACCACAAACTTAAATTATCTAATAACAAAAAAAAATTATAAATTATCCGGAAGTGAAAATAATATTACAGTACCAAATATAAATTATCCAAATAAAACAAAACAAAATACTTAAACAGTAGCCCAGTAGCTCATTAGCATAAAAATAATAATAATAATAATAATAATAAATAAATAAATAAATAGCACAATAAAACATCAAACAACAGTCTTGACTAGCAGCAAAACAACTCTGAAAATAGCAGTAAGCAAGGCTAGCTTTCAATCTGAATCTGAAACCGTAGTCACATATACAAAATAACATAATTTAATTAAAAATCCACAATATGGTATTTATTTATAAATTGAATAAAAATGTAACAAATTGTTAACATTTACCAGAGTCGTATTGTTCAAGTTCGTCCAACTTTTCTTCAACATCAATTGGTATTGGTGAAGCCCGTAACCAATCTTGTGTACAAATTAAGCATTCCGCAAGCTTTGGAGTTAAAGAACTACGGAATTGATCAAGCACACGACCTCCAGTGCTAAAAGCGGACTCCGAAGCAACAGTAGAGACTGGAACAGCTAGAATATCTCTTGCAATTTCTGAAAGTATTTTATACCTACTTCCGTTCACCTTCCACCAATTCAAGATGTCAAATTCTGGAACATCTTCACAAGCTTCCTCCAAATATTTTTCCACTTCCGACTTAGGAGTAGAACTTTCTTCTTGTATCTTGTGCTTCTTGTACAAAGAGGAAAAATCATCTTCTACATTTCCATCATCAACTCTCACTTCATTTGCAATATTACTTGTTCCACTAGAGCTTGAAGTAAATGCATGAAACTTTGCACATTCACTAAAAATGCAGTTGAATGTATCTATTACCTTCTTCCTAAGGTTTTCAACCATTTCAAGAGAATAAAGTTGGGAATAGCAAAATTCCACAAATTCCAATTTATAATGAGGATCCAACACAACCGCAAGCACCACCAACATGTTCACTTTTTCAATGTTCCCCAATATTTGTCAAATTTAATTTTCATTTTTTATGCCATATTACTTAACCAAATATCAGAACTCTTTGACCACGTATTTAACAACTTTTCAATTCCCAACACTTCATGAAAATATCTATTGGAAGTAACATACAAAGATCCGGAAAGCTTGTTAGTGGCGTCATAAAATTTTTTAAAAAAAACAATCAAAACTCGAGCATATTCCCAATCAGTACTAGAAGGAGCTTTATTATTAACTTCCGGTAGGAATTGAATATCATCATCTTCTAACCTTTCAAAAGCCTTTTGAAACTTTACGGCCACCTCTAACATAAGGTATGTGGAATTCCATCTAGTTGAAACATCTAGGCACAAATGTGACTTAAATGTTATATTCTCCCTCTTCACACATGCTTGAAAACGCTCTCCCCGTTGTGGAGAACTCCTAACATACTTCACAGCCTCACGAATTCGAACTATTGAACCATTTACATCACTCAAACCATCTTTCAGAATCAAATTCAATATATGTGCACAACACCTCATATGAAAACATTCACCACCTAAAAGGAAAGAGCCAACATTCCTAGCAAGCTTCTTTTCTTTCAAATATGCAACCGCAAGATCATTTGAACTAGCATTATCAACCGTGAGTGTACACAATTTGTCTATACCCCAATCAAGCAAACAAGTCTCAACTGCACGACCAATTTCCTTACCCTTGTGACTAGGTATTATACAAAAATTCAGAATTCTTTTGTGTAAGGTCCAATTCTTATCAATGAAATGAGCCGTGAGACACATATAAGAAAGATTTTGAATTGACGTCCATATATCATTGGTGAAACAAATTCTTTGATTGAGTTGATTCACTAAGGTTTTCAACCTCTTCTTTTCTATAGCATACAATTTCAAACAGTCCCTAACCACAGTAAAACGTGACAACAATTTGAATTTTGGCTGCAAGACACTAAGAAAATAATGAAAACCTTCACGCTCAACAAACTTGAAAGGTAATATATCAATAATAATCATTTTAGTAAGTGCTTGTCTACACAACTCCTGATCAAATTTCCAAGAAACCATAACACCCTCTCCTTCAGTAGTTGAATGAAACGAAATGAGTTTTTGTTTCTTGTCAACATTAAATGGATATTATTGGCATCTACTTATGTGGTTCCTCAATGTACTTGTCCCATTTCCACTAGACCATGAATAAGATGCACTACAATAGTTGCATTTTACATTACATTTTGACTTAGTACAATTAGAGCCTTTCTCTTTTGTGAAATGGTCCCAAACATCATATATGAAACGTTTTTTGGTAGGACATACCTGCGTGTTTAAATCATCATCATTGGTGCCAGCAGCAGTAACTTCAGGCCTTGGAACATTAGAATTTTCTGCAGTTGTCATCTACCAGGAAAAATAATTGTTACAAAAAATTAGTGAAAGATTGCCATAAAGTAATTATAATCTACTGATGAAACAGAAGTACTTGATGATGCAGTTCCTTTAGAAGTATCAGTCAAATATTAAAATGTGAAAGATGAAAGGAACTGGATGAAATAAAGGACAAATTGAGTCTGATTAGTTCTGTCAAATGAAAATACTTTAATATCACAATCTTACACATTTAGTTAAAAGGATTTATTTGAGTTATAAAAAGGTGGTGGGTCAAAGTCCAACATTTCTACATATTTAAAAACACATATATAATCAATGGCTACTATTTTTTCTTGATTGTGAAACACAGAGAATTCCCACGAAAAAAAGGTGATAGAAAATAAAAATTACAATAATTTACTTCATACCAAATAGTACTTAATTCATCCAAATATTAATATATATGAAACATAGTTGTCATTCTCAGACAAATTTCCCAGTAACACTTTGAAAGCTTCCCAAATTAAGAACAGAGATGAACAAAATCAACCAAGAACTCATTTCCCAAAGCTGAAAAAAAATCCCAAAATCCCAAATTAAAGATGGATCAAATCCTCCTTTTCTGCAACACTTGGAACATTCTTGTCTCCTTATTTTTTTTTTTTTTCTAAATAAAACAGAGAACAATCAAATACTAAAGTATTCTCGAATAGCCAAAAACATTAAGCATCAGGAAGACATCCAGGGACAAGGACCAAAGGATGAAAAAATGGGAAAAAAAGAAGATATGTGACTAAAAATCAAAGGCATGAAGAACAGAAGAAGACATCCAAAAAAAAAAAAAAAGGATAAATATAAATCTAAAGTTCAAACAATCACATATTAAGTAGATCCATGTAAAAACTGTTCAGAGAAGAAGAGAATAAGTAGATTCATTCAAAAATCTTGTGAACTCACCGGAAAAGAGGTAGATCCAGTCGAAGAGGTCGCCGTTGCTTCGATACACCGAGGTCTCCGTTGCTTCGAATCAGGTGAACGATGGCTGAAAGGTGTTGGATTGAGAGATGAGAGATTAGGAGGCGAGAGATTGGGAGAGGCGAAGAGGGTGAAGAGAAGAGGCTGACTGGCTGAGTTAGTGAGGGAGGCGCAACTTGAAATGTCGTAATGAAGAGATGAGGCTGAGACACTGAGTTAGGGTTAGGTTAACATTAAAAAATAATGAATAAAGAAAAAAAAGAAAAAAATAAAAACGATATATCATTATATTGTATATATATATAATATATTAATATATTACTAACGGTTAACGGTTCGGCTTTCCTAACGGTTCGGATTGGCAACGGTTCAGTTCGGATCGGTTAACGATTTGGATCGGATTTCTCAGGGTCCAATCCGTTAACCGAACCGCGAACACTGGATTGCAGATTTTTCAAACCATCACCGAACCATGAGATCTGAAAACCGAACCGAACCACACGGATCGAATTGGTTCGGACCGGATTGACGAATTATTTGCTCACCCCTAATATGTTAACTTTATTATCCTTATTATTTTTATTATCCTTTTTGTTATTATCTTTATTTATTTTTTGCCTTTTATACCAAGGGCGCTTTTTGAATTCTCTGGGGTTATTTCTAAAATAAGGTTTTTTATTACGATAATTCTTATAAATTTTGTTTTTGCGTAAATTATATATTTTTTTTTTTTTGTTTATTACGCTTATAATTATAATTTTTCTAAGGCATGCAACCATACTGTGGTGAAAAATCTATTTGCTTACATGTATAATAAAATTGTTTTTTAATTTGTTTTGATTCTTTACATTATCTACATTCTGCTTTTAACATGTTATAAACATGGTTACTCTATCTCTTATAGTTAACCTATCTCTTCTGAAATTTTCTAGCCATTTTTTCCATATCTTAGTTCCTACACTTCTTGGTAATTTTTTAAAATACCAATCGATTATTGTTATATCTCCTGTTTTGCCTGTGGCTGCGTAATACTCAAAAAAACTTATTAATGTAATCTCTTATATATCTAAAATCACAAATATATAGTCATTCTAAATTACATAAAGTTTCGGTTTGCTTTATTTGGGTTCCGTCTAATAGTCTATCTTCTCCTATTAGTACCTTTTTTATTAAACTAATAAAACCTTAAACTGTAAAATTATCTCGTAAGAGGGCGTAATCGTTAACGTAATTTACTTTATAGGATTGCCACTAGTTATGGATTGTTCCCCTTAATAGGGTTTCACACTAAGTTATGGCTTGTGTTTTATTATCAAAGTTGGTTAGAATAGCTTGCCTAATACAGTCTTGTTCCCAATCGTCGATTACTTTTGCCGAATCTTAGGGATCGTGTCGTGATATGTCTAGTATTGATCCTATTTGTTGTGCTGGTATATTATCGTAACGTCTACGATTTTGTGTCCATGTGTGCATGTCTGGTATATTTCTATTTTCTACATAGATTTCTTGTATTTGATTTAACCGTTGTCCAGTGGTATAATCATCGTTTATGGTATTAGTATTACCTGTGGCGTTAGGCATTTATTGGTCGACTGACCCTGTAGGTTGGTCTTGAGAAGTTGATGTTTCTACTATATCTTTTCCTTCTCTATGTTCTACTACATTTAATTCTTCTTTTAAGGTGTTTAATTCATTCTTTGTGTAAAATGATTCAAATCCTACTGTAAAAATATTTCTTTTAATGTTCTCATTCTTTCCCTGTCCTAGGTTAAATGCTTTCTAGGAGTTGATCTTAGGTTCTGGATATTTAGCGTTCAGATCATCTATTTCTAAATTATCGAAATCATACATGATTTTATCTAAAATTTCATCTTCTAATCTATCATAGAAAACATTAATTTCTTCGAAAGATTCTATCTCTATTAGAGTAGTCATAAAATCTTATTCGTTATTATTATCTATTAAATTATCTTGTCGTTTATAATTACTGTCTATTAAATTATCTTGTCGATTATAATTACTGAAACGTATACTTGCTTGACCGGTATGTTTTATATATATTTTATTATTTTTTAGAATCTTTTGGATTGTTTTATCAAGATTTGGTAATTCTAGGTTTCACTAATTATTTTCCTAACTTCAATTATTTGAACATATTTACTACAAAATAGTTTAACGATTTCGTCAAATTGAGCTTTAAACTTTAGGTTATATTGATTAACAGTTTTTCCCATAAATAAAGTATTAATGAATAAGTTTTCATATTGGCCTGCCATATTATATCCTTTTTAGATATTGTTATCTTGATATGTTTACTAAATTCTTTAGTAGTCATTGTGTAATTAGGAATACATCCTACAATGGCTACGTTAACTGCTAAATCTACTTCTACACTAGCTATTTATGCTTATTGATGGTTAATCCATCTATCATCATAAATATAAACAAGTGTTTTAGTTCCTACCTCTGATCTATTTAATCCTACTATGCCTATCATTATAACACCTAAATGCACAATGTTTAACTTAGTTTTTTCTAATTCATGATAAGGTTCTGGAGTTATGAGATCTAATATTACTTGATTATTAATTACACTAATGCTCATAAATTATTACAATAACCTTTAGATATCTTCTTTTAACGATTTTAAATAGTCTATAATTGTTTTTTCATTTTCCGCTATATCTTTTATATCAATATTTATATCTTTAATGACGAAAATTATTATTTTATTATCTAAATTTCTTGAGACTAGACTTTTGTTCAACTATTGTTTTGATATAATTTAAGTTTTCTCCGATTCGTTTTATCGAGTTGTCTAGGTTATTAAACTCTATTCTGTTCATAAACCTAACTAAAATATTTATCGTCTAACTTCTAGAATATTCTGTAAAAGAATAATTTTAGGGAAAATTACATATAAATGGAGTCAAAGTTTCATATTTACTTAGAGACTGAGTCAAAGTTCCATATTTCTCTAAAATGGATTGCTGAGGTGGCACATGATTTTTTACTGTTTAAAAAATTGTGGTGCCTAAAATGCCCTTCCCTAATAAAAAAGTAGTACCTTCAGTTCAAAAAAGTAGTACCTTCGGAGAAAAAGTAGTACCTTCGCGAGTGTTTAAAAAACATGGTACCTGGACGCCAAAAAGTAGTACCTTCAGTTCAAAAAAGTAGTACCTTCGAAGAAAAAGTAGTACCTTCGCGGAAGGGTATTTTAGGCATCACAATTTCTAAACATTAAAAAACCATGTGCCACCTCAGCAATCCATTTTAGAGAAATATGAAACTTTGACTCAGCCTCTAAGTAAATATGAAACTTTAACTCCATTTATATGTAATTTTCCCATAATTTTATATCTAAGTTCTTCTATTCTTCGTTGAAGGCTATGTGTTGTGTTTCCGAATTCTAGTGAAGTTTAACAGTTCCTAAATACTATTTAAAAATACTTTAGAATTCCTAAAAGTTCTTCTTTGGATAAATTGTGCATAAAAAAAACTTTAAGGGTGAAAACATAATTTTAACTTATAATAGGGGTTCAAATAGAAAGCCTTCACTTTTGTTTCATGATATAATAAATACACATATACAAACTATATATGTTCATAGGTTGATAATATACTTTTGCCACCACCACTTACATGATAAAGTCCCCACTACCACTTACATGTTAAAGTCCCTTGTGATTAACTACCAACTAATCCAAATCCAGGCACCAAATCTAGGCACTAAGAACTTTTATATTATTTTCAAAATCCATTAAAATTTATATCAAACAAAAAATAAAACAAACTATAAGAAAAAAATTTATACTATATTTAAATCAATTTACAAAAATAATATCTTCAAACACCCGGTACACGAATAGTGTCTTCTAACACCGCAGAAGGATTATGGCAAACGCTGATGACGATCCGACTACCTCTTTTTGGGATTTCAACATCAACACTATCCCCAACCATGCACATATCAGTCCATACATTTTTACCTACACGTCCAAAACCATATGATAATGTAAAATTTTCTCCTCATCGTACTGCTAATGATAGTACCCAACTTTTAAACTTAGAAATAAAATATGCACCCGATATAGAAGTCAAATTATATACAATATTTCTATTACCATTTTCAATTCTTATAATTATATTATCTTTTAAATTTTGCATTATGAATTTCGATCTGAAGATGATTAATTAAGTCACTGTTTTCCATCCTAGCATCTTCAAAACGATGTTCCGCAACTTCAAATGTGATTCTTAGTTGCAGAACTTCTTCCTCATTTCCTCATCACAGATGAGTTGTACAACGCCTCTTGCTCAGCCTTAAGTCTTTTAACCTTGATTCTTGCTTCCGCGAGGTCATCTCTAAGACAGGCAAGCTCATAGTCACGAGTAACATATGTTCCCAATTCCACTATGAAATCCTCCATTTCAGTCAAAAGTCACATAAGAAAACCATTAAAAAAGTGCAAATCATCCCATTTCATATACTAAAATCCCAATAAAACTTCAAAAATCAACAAATGAATTAATAAGCAATAAAAGGATGTAGAAAGACATAAAGACAATGTAAAGAAATATATATTCACGGAGAAAAAAGAAATCTACATACACCATCAATATGCACAAAAGAAAAAAAAATAAGGGATGTAGAAAGACATAGAAACAATGTAAAGAAATATATATTCACGGAGAAGAAAAAAATCCACACACAAAAAACAGATAAAATGAAGTAAATAAAACTACAAAAATAAACGTGTGAGCATAGAAAAATTATGTATGACCAACATGTATATATAAAGAGAAAATTAGATAAAGAACATTAGAGGAACATAATACAAGTAGGGATGTAGGAAGACATTGAAACAATGTAAAGAAATAGATATTCACAGAGGAGAAATCCACATAATGTGCACAAAAAGACATAAAATGGAGTAGATAAAATTAACAAAAACGAACCAAGTCACCGACCGTGTGTGTTTGCGTATGTGAATAGAGAGAAGATACCTAAAATACAAGGAAAGGTGTGGTAAAAAAATATTGAAAAAATGTATAGAAATATGTATATTTACAGAGAAAAAATCTACACACAGCCAATCAATATACATTTGTACATAATGGTTCATTTCATTTTCTCTTGTTTGTGCTATGTTTCATTTTCTCTTGTTTGTGCTATATATATTCATCGGTAAATGTATATTGACTGGCTGTGTATATTTATTCTCTGTAAACGTACATATCTCTATACACATATGTATATACGCGTGTACACATGTATATATGCATATATATACATAATCGGTTTGTTTATGTGCTTCTTCTTCTCCATTTTCTCTTGTTTGTGTTATATATATTCTTCGGTAAATGTATATTGACTGGTTGTGTATAGATTTTTCTCTGTAAATGTACATATCTCTATCCATTTTTCCAATGTCTTTCTACCACACCTCTCCTTATATTTTAGGCATTATCTCTATACACATATGTATATATGTGTATACATACATAATCAGTTCGTTTTTGTGCTTCTTCTTCTCCATTTTCTCTTGGTGGTGCTATATATATTCTTCAGTAAATGTATATTGACTGACTGTGTGTACATTTCTTCTCTGTAAATGTACATATCTCTATATATTTTTTCAATGTCTTTCTACCACACCTCTCCTTGTATTTTAGGTGTTTTCTCTCTATTCACACACACAAACACACACGGTCGGTGATTCTGTTCATTTCGGTTCGTTTTTGTTAATTTTATTTACTCCATTTTATATCTTTGTGTGCATATTGTGTGGATTTCTCCTCTGTGGATATCTATTTCTTTACATTGTTTCAATGTCTTCCTACATCCCTACTTGTATTATGTTCCTCTAATGTCTTTTTCCTAATTCTCTCTATATATACATGTTGACCATACATAATTTCTCCATGTTCACACACGTTCATTTTTGTAGTTTTATCTACTCCATTTTCTCTGTTTTGTGTGTGTGAATTTCTTTCTTCTCCGTGAATATATATTTCTTTACATTATTTCTATGTCGTTCTACATCCCTTATTTCTTAGTTAGAGTTAATTTTTCTTGTAAATCTATTTTTTGTCAAAGTAAGATCTATCTTTTGCTTCCCTCCAAGTTCCCAACACCTTCAATAGATAGGGCTAGGAATTGGCTTCTTTTTTTTTTTAATCCCTTTCTCTAGTTGGTGGAAAATATGAAAAAAAAAAAAAAAAAAAAAAAAAGATTAAAAGTCTGTGAATATTGCAAAATTTGATTGGTGCAGTTTTGTGTCCAACTTCTATTGGTTTGTCTTATTGTTTTACGTATTGAATAGAAGTCGAGTGTTTAATTGATGTAAATAGACTATGATTTTAGATTGAGGTTGAGTATGGAGAGTCGTGGGGAAAGAGAGAGAAAGGGGGGAAGGGAGAGAAGCGTGTCCGGTTAAAAGAGGGATTCTAAAAATTTTTAATTGGTAAAGAAAAAAAATTTGGGTTTGAGTTTAAGGGATTCTAAAAATTTTAAATAGGGAAAGAAAAAGAATTGAATTTGGATTTAACTTGTAACAAGTTGGATAATAATCATTGTGAAAAAAAAAAAAAAATTAAAATTAAAATTTGAACATGTGTATAAATTGTATTGGCCCACATCAATTGGGAGGATAAAATGGGAGGACCCAAGTATTGTTGTCCTTATTTATGTAGTTGAATTATTATAGTTTTACCCTCCCGTCACACACTCTATATACATGAAGATCCACACTGCCACAATTTATAAAATCTTTATCTTGAACTAACAATTCTCAAGATTTTGATTAGGCACATGGATCATATGGATGTTGTAATAGTGGAATGCTCATCAACCTCTCTCTATCTACATTGAAAGATGAATGAGATTTTGGGAGGAATGAGATTTTGGATAGAATTGCGTAATATTTTTGCCGATCAAGGAAGGGATTTGGTGGTCTCTGCACCCTGCTTCATTACTTATTTGAATCATTTGTAGCTGTTGTATGTTCTTAATTTTCTTCCAACTCAATTTAATTTATCCCCAGTTCTTGTTCTGATATCAGGCCACACTGCAACAAGGAGACTCCTCCGATTTTACGTGCAATGAAAGGTCCAACACCTTGGCGAAAAGGCGTCCCAAAAAATTCTTCTAAGGTGATTTTCCTCAACAACAAATACATACATGAATAACTACCAAAGCCTAATGGTATCTCCTCTTCTTTCAAAGTGAAAGGTAGATATCTCCTCAACAGTGAGGGATAATTTCACTAAAACAAGAATGACCCAAAGAATGTTTATTGCAGAAGTATTGGATTTTGATTTCAGACAAGTCTAAAAGACATGAAGCAATAACTTCAAATCCCCTTCCAAATTTTGATACTAAACATCAAAGAGAAGATATAATTCCAACAATCAGTTTCATCTAATATGTGAAACTTCAAACCCAAAGTCTGGAAAAAAAAAAAAATTCTTTCAAAAAAAATAAAAATAAAAAAACTTAATATTGCACCGTGCAAGAAAAGCAATTCATAAACTAACAAATGAGATTCTTATCTATTCAAATTTAAAGTATAAATAAAGCCATATACCAACAAAATGAGATAATTATTTCTAATAGATGAAAATTTCAATTGATAAACAATATAGCACTAGTAAAACAAGTAAAATAAATTTAAAGAATTTTACCTTCTTTTTCCGATTCCACTCATTTCACTTCGTGTTTTTGTTTCTTTTTCAAAAGTAAACCCTGCATCATTCAAATTAAGACGCAACATATTAGGAAACTTTATGTTGACACTATTGATATATTATATAGGTTTGAAGACATAACAAAAACAAGGCACATAACATAGTACACAGATTTCAGATTGTAACAGATGCAGATGAAAATTTTAATTTTGAAGATGCAGATAATACAAGATTCATACTTTCATAAATCTCAATAGGAGAGAAACTTTTGCTTGTGGGAAAGATTTTGACGAGAAGCATCAAAGAGTTTTGTTGATCTCTGTCTTAAAAAGACTTCTTTATATATTAAGAACCATCTGCTCTCTGCACCTCCCATATCTCAGTTTGTATTTATACAAATTTATATATATATATATATATATATATATATATGAATCAGACGTGAGTTTTATTTATACACATGTTCCGATTCTCTCCAATTTCGGACCATTTTCTTTGTTGAGGAAAAAAGATGATGAAACAGATTTCTCAAACCCAAATTTAATGTCTAGAGATTAAGAGATGGACGATATAGATGAAGTACTGTGGAGAGAGAAAAAGGCTGAGATTTACAGGGGAGACACAGACGGCTGAGATTTTTTCAGAGGAAAAAAACTGATATTTCATGGTCCTTTTCTGAAAACCCACGTGCCCTCTGCACTTCCATTTATCTTTTACCCAGAAAAGCTGCTCGGATCTCTTACAATCCTACCGCACATTAATGATATATATATATATATACTACTCCGTATATTTTGATGATTTAACCATACTCATAGTCAGATCATCATATCTACACTACACATACTGAATAAATTGCTTTAATACTGGAAAAAAAAAATCACTAAAAATTGAACCAACCCATTCAGACAGACCAAAAAAATAACAACTACAGTAGCTTTCTAAAAGCACAAAAAAAAGAATATAATTATATCACCTTGAAGGCAGTCACAATTCTCTGCCTCTTTCCGAACCACATCAAGAACAGAATCGATGAGCTCAGCCCCTTCAGTATAGTGACCTTTGGCCCAATTATTGGCGGCACCGGACAGCCCGAACACGAAGTTGTCGGGTCGGAAGATCTGGCCGTAGGGCCCGGATCGGACGCTTTCCATGGTGCCTGGTTCGAGGTCCATAAGGACGGCGCGTGGGACGAACCGGCCACAGCTGACTTCGTTGTAGTACACATTGACCCGCTCCAGTTGCAGATCCGTGTCACCTTGGTATCGACCCGTCGAATCTATGCCGGCGCAAACCACCTCCCAGAACTTTGCCCCGATCTGGTTGCCACATTGGCCACCCTGAATGTGCAGAATCTCACGCATTTTCTAGAGAGAGAAAGTAGAACGAAGCTGGAGAAGGCGGTGGGGTTTAGAGAGACTCAGGGCTGCTCTATGAAAACCTGGTAAGGTGATGGGTTGTAGTCTGACGTTTCATTTGCTAGGTTGTCGAGTAGGAATAAAGGTTGACACATGTCATTATAAGGACATAGCATAGAGATTGCAAAGAGCTAAGGTTAGCATTTAGTAAGGTGACACGATTTTTTAAAGATAAAAGTTTTCAAATTTGATTTGTACATTATTATTTTTTAAAAATAAGTTAATGTATTTTAGCGATTTATATATTATACGAGCTTTGTGTTCACGTACACAAACGAAGCTAAAATGAGTTTATGTTCACGAACCGAGCTTAATACTATTTGGGCTCGACTCGTTTATTAATAAACGAGTTTAGAATTTGAACTTAAGCTCAACTCGTTTCCTTAACGAAAGAGATCGAACTGAATTCGAACTGTTCGCGAATAGCTCGGTTTATTTGAAGGGAGTTTTTTTTTTTTTTTTTTTTTTTTTTTTGAGGGGAGGTCTGGTTTTGCAGTTTGGGGGAAATGGGGGGGGGGGGGGGGGGGTTAAAAATAAGTTAATGTATTTTAGTGATTTATATATTATACGAGCTTTGTGTTCGCGTACACAAACGAAGCTAAAATGAGTTTATGTTCACGAGCCGAGCTTAATACTATTTGGGCTCGACTCGTTTATTAATAAACGAGTTTAGAATTTGAACTCAAGCTCGACTCGTTTCCTTAACGAAAGAGATCGAACTGAATCCGAACTGTTCGCGAATAGCTCGGTTTATTTGAAGGGAGTTTTTTTTTTTTTTTTTTTTTTTTTTTTTTTTTTTTTTTTTTTGGGAGGGGAGGTCTGGTTTTGCAGTTTGGGGTTCTTGGACTTTCTAATTAATTAAAAAATATGATTTGTAGACTATATTTTTGCAATGGTAATGGTGACAGATTTGATTTTAAACATTCAACAAATTAAATAAAATTATATGAATTTTTCAAAGTAGTCAACCCCACCCAAGTATCCTAGTTACTATGGATTTTTCCCACTTTAAATTCGTTGTTAAATTCGTTGTAGAATATTTTCAGGTTAAGTGATGATTGATTTAACAAAATAAGCTACATACTAAAAAAAACTTGAATTGATACAAATTAGAAGCTAAACACCTGAGATCAGCAAAATTCCCAGCAATGTGTGTATATATATAATAGATAAATTCTTCATAAATTCTTGGTGAATTAAATTTTGCACCAATTTTAGGTGTAAACAAAATTTCCAATTTTATAATGCAAAGTTGTTAACAAAATAATAATATATTACCAAACTATCTTTTTCGATTTCACTCCTTTCATTTCAGTAAGCTTTCATCTTCTCAAAAAGTGAACCTACAAAAAATAAGTTTTCATATTAATAACTACTTATCCTAATACAATTAGCCACTCCAAATTACAAAGCTTGAGGTGCAACCAAACAATGTGTGTGTGTGTGTATATAAACTAAAAATATTAATACCTCACCCACAGCACTCTATTTTGCAGGCATGGCATTTTTGGTTCCTATTTTGCTAAATGACAGCTCACACGTACCACCCTAGCACCAATTGGTGTTAACTTGCATAGTTAAAATAGACACCAAGCCCTCGAAAGTTAGCATTAAAATTTTCTGCTTTTTAATTCAGTCATTTTTTGTTCAATATTGTGATAGGTCTTTTTTATTTTATTTTATCTAAGCAGTAATTTTATCTTCAATTTACTGATTATTTTCTTTCCATTTCAATTTTTTTTTTTTTTCTTTTATTTATGATCAAAAATGCAACTTCATAAGAAGCAGTGAAAGGCATAAACTTCAATGAGATTCTGAGTAAAGATATTTGAAGGTGAAAAATGACCAAATGAAATTATCCCTAATTTTTAAATGAATGTAGTGTTATGAGTTAAAGTTGAGTTGGGCTGCATTAGATTAGATTTGAACTTAGCTGTAATACCCCGTAATTTTAAAGAGTTTATTTAAATTAATTTTGTGTAGGGTTAATTCTTTAATGTGTAGATTTATTCACCTTTTAATTATATATGTTAAATTATTTAATTAATTTTATTTATTTGTGCATGTAATATTGATTTTTTTGTTCTATATATTATAATGATTAGTTTAGACATTTTATTGGTTATGTTTTAGATTAATTAATATTATTTAAATTAAAGTATTTAATTTGTATTATATAATAATAATAATAATTATTATTATTATTATTATAATATTAATAGTATTAAATCAATGTAATGATGAAAAATTAAATCTTAGGATAGGATTTCATTCCCATAGTTGAACCTTACGACATTTTGCTTGACTTGGCTTTCTTGGCTTAAATGATATAGGTAGGAATGTGAGGAATGGGTGAGAATTAAATGTTAATTTAGATATTTGTATTATATATATTATATAAGTTAGTATATATATATTAGTTAGCCAACTTACCCTTAAGGCAACTCACTTAAGTTAGAAAGCTTAAAAATTACAGAAGCTATTTTATAAGAGTGAAAGGAAAAGAGAGAGAGAAAGAAGCTTGGACCGGTGTAGGCGATTTTACCCGACTACGCACAACCGGCGGATTTATTTTAAATCCATAAGGCAAGTTATTATCTATTTTTCCCCTTTGAATCCATAAATTAATTGTTTAAATTATTTAGATTATGATGGAGCAGTGAGAGCATGCTTAGATTTTAATAAATGAATTTTTTTAGTTTATTAAATTAATGAATTTTTAATTATTTAGGATGGTAGATAATTAGTTATTATCCTATGAAATTCAAAATAGCTAAAAATATTTCCTTAAGGCGTTAGGGATTTTTTTTAGAATTTTTAGGGATTTTTCGGGCATTTTATGCAATTTCCGGCGAGGTTTCCGGCCACCGGCAGTGAAGAAGATGACTGGAGTGATCCGGTGTGATGCGGCGCATTGTAGGTTAGTGCGTGCGCGCATCCTGGCCATTGGTAGAGTCTGATTGATCCGGTGCATCGCAGTCTATGTTACTGCAGTACACCCGGATCAAGAACCTTTGGATTAGGTAGATTCATCCAGTGTAGCGCGCCCATAGCAAGACCATGCAACCAACGAATCAGCAAGTGCCGCGTCATCAGGACGCATTAGTGCGCGCGTGGCAGCGCCTGTGCGCGCGTGGGAGGTTCTAGACGCGCGTGAAGGCGCGTGTAAGCGCGTGCACGTGAGAGAAAAGTGGTGGCGCGTGTGGGAAGCTCTGGGAGGCGCGTGAGGGCGCGTGTGGGGTCTCTACAGCTACTGGAAAAGTCCAGAATACCCCTAGGGACTGTTTTGTAAATTCCAGAACCTTAAACGTGGATTTTTAGGTACTGTGTTGGTATTTACGGGTTTAACGGGCCACGAAATTATTATTTTAATACCCGGTAATTATTCTTATGGCCAATTAATCTTTTCTAAGTGTTTATTGGCTCGTTTACAGTACGAATATTAATGTAATTTATTTAATGACATTGTTAAATATAAATAGTGTTATTTTATTAAATGGTATCAAACATTACTGTTAAATTAAATAATGCCATGGTTTTAGTCATATAAATTATCCATGATATCTTATGGGATGCTTATACTGTTAAATGATATAGAAACCATGATTATTATGCTGTGTGCATTTCAGGAAATAAATGGACTGTTTAATTATATCACATTTATATTATATGGATGTGTTGCCATATAGAACCATGTGAGCTGGCTAATAAGTTTAGACTCATTTATACCTTATGCATTCGTTGCTATAGACAGATGTGTGGCTGTCGGGGTATGTGGTTTAATATTATTGGCATGTGTTGCATAATTGGCATGCTCAGTATGTATAGTAATATTATTGGCATGTGTTGCCTAATTTATATGCTCAGTATATTCATCAGTACTTTGAGAAGTGTTATCACTGTGTAGTTCGTTATAGTCTGTGTTGTCAGTACCATGCACCATGTATAATAGCTGATTTCCCGGGTAGGGAAAGGCGACACTTAACCACCTAGTGTGAGTCTAAGTGATTACCGTCTATTCTGGTTGAGGTCATGTTATACATTGGATAGTTCCTTTAGGATGTATACCGATATAGTACTCGTCCGATTCATAATGATTAATTTATTTGATTCTCTGATTTGGGTCATAGTAGAGAGGACTTGCTCGTGGGGTTGACCCACCATTGTTGTTATTTCAGGATACGGTCAGTACCCGTTCCAAGGTTGAGGTTAGCAGTGAGGGACCACCATCCGAACTCATCTACTCTTACGATCCAGTTCAGGGTAGAAGTTTTATGTATTACTTCAGTTTCAGCTTTTATTTACTTTTGACGTTGAACTCTCCGGTTTATATTTAGGGATCCTTGACATAGGATTTCCAAGTTGTAATGGAGTACTGTATTAAATAAAGGATGGATGGATGTTGTATTATTTAGTGTTCCTTTCCTGTCTAAATTCTTTTATTATCATCATTTTGTATTCCATGCTTGTATATTGCCAATTGTTTTTGATATCCCTCGTTTTTCGTGTATAAACTTGATCAACTTATGCGTGGAAAATGTTGGGGGTGTCACATTAGCTTTATTAACGTTGGTTAAGTAAATATTAAATGAACTCAAAAATATGTGTTTATATATATATATATTTGGAGTTCAAAACCAGCTTTTAAACGAACTTGTTCAGGAACATTTTCATGAACAAATAAATTGGACAGTGAGATATTTGAGTTTCACTAAGAATTTTGTCTAAGTTTTGACCGTTTATTAAACAAATTAACACGAATTGATCCCTTAACTAACTGTACTCAAGTTGTTGGTCAGCCAACCAAAAAGCGCGGTAGTGAATTAGGCCTGGGCCTCCAATTTGTTTTCCGGTTGACTAATAAGCTAACTCAACAAACCCAAATTACTTATATAATAGCTACTATTTTTTTTTTCCCTCCTAATTCGTTAAATAACTTCTATTATAATTTTTAATTTTTAAGTCAAATTGAGAAATCTTTATATTGAAAATAAAATTTTTAATACTCGATTTATTATGCTTTTGTAATATTTTGTAATTTCAATCGTAACCTGCTAAAGTTA